TTTTATCCCCTCTCTCAAGCGTCAAATAGAATTTATCTCTATATTTTAACCCCAATATCTCCATTTCGAATTAAATATATAGCAATGATCAAATACCTGATTCTTGGAATGAATTAGCCTCAAAGATTCGCACTTTCTCTCGAAACCTACGAATTCTAGGTTATGTTATTCTTTAAATCACGCCTAAATTTCCCTCTCTCGAGCAACAAATTTAAAGCATTAAATCATTCAATTGTTGATCAGACAATTAAAAGCATTAAGTAAGAACAACATAAATAAATTTCATGAAAATCAAGGGAAATGTTATATTGGAATCAAAACATGTCTCAAATAGATTACATCAAATCCTAGATCTCAAAGTTTAGTTCATAATTAATTTGATTGACATAATGAAATACATAATAAAGAACATAGAGGAGAAGTATGGAATAAGAGAAAAAACTAATTATGTTGCGTGAGTTCTTCCCCAAATTGTTGTCAATCCTCTTGCAATTCCTTGTTGATTTTTTTTGTCTCTTAGATTCTCTCCTTCCAAGCCTCTTGTTTTTTTCAGAAGAAGAAGGAGGGGTTCTGGTCGTCGACCTAGGTTAAATAGCATGATAGATTTTATTTCCATACAAGGTTGTGTCAAAAATGGAATATGCTCGATTTTTTTCAAAAAATGCTCGTGCGCGCGTGCGGTATATTTCCTTGCACGCGCACCGCCTATGGATTTTACATTCTGCTTATAAAATTCAACCCCTTGCGCGCGCGAGATTTTTAGCCTGTGTGCGCGCGCCGTTATGAAACTTTTCCATGTGTTGCACTTTGGTCCCTATACTTCATTCTTCATTCTTTTTTATCCATATCTGACATCTTCTCGATCATTCATCTTCAAACACCATTTAATTGCATCTTGCACTTCTTCAATCATTAACCCAACTTTTGATACTTTGCGGTTTAGTCCCCAAACTTTTAATTAGGCCCAAGTCAGCAAATTTCCCGCTCTTCTGTCCAATTTCATTGTTTTGTCTCGAGTTACACCTGACAAACGAAATATGAATGAAATTAAGTATCAATTCATCCTAAATAATAAAAATTGCTCTAGTTTAATAAATGGAAAAAGTGTATAAAATACACTTGTCAGTGTATACTAATACTATTTTGAAAAGACTTGCATGACATGTTTTGCCTAAACCTTAAGTAACTCATTAGCTCCATCACTCATCTCTTTTTCCCATTTTTGGTTATTCCTTGGAGGTTGATTGTTGAATTTCTTCTCTTGGCGATATTTGGGAATCTTGAACTCATTAGTCAAGTTCTATTGTTCTTTGCTTATAATTATATCCACTAGAAAATTTGAATCTAAATCTTCCAAAAGAAAAATGGAGCTAAAAGGTTGATTAATTATTTCTTCACAAGATTTTTTTCTTAAATTTTAATAATTGGAAAAGGTGAAAGTCGGATGCAAAAGAGCATTTGATAGGCTGAATTGTGTTGTTCATGGAGAATGAGAATAGATTCATGGAAGCACCATACGTTGTCTACGTGTTGAGTAGAGTGGAAGGGCGTTGGGTTGGGGAGTTTTGGGAGTTGGTTTGCACTTTGCCGGGTGGATTGGGCCCTAACCAACTAGGAAAATTAGCCAGATGAATTGGGGCCTCATAATAAATAGCTGCTTAGGGCCTCAAAATTCTCAGGGTCAGCCCTATGAGACAAACCCAAGTTATACAAAACCTCCAATAAGTAAGTTAAAGATAAAGAAGATTATAATTTCTCCAATTCTCATCTTCAAAGATAATAAACATCAGCACTCCCTACCAATAGGATTGATTGCTATAGGATCTTACTTATTTCACAAAATCAAATGGTTATGCCCATCTAACTAAATGAGGATGATGAAGTACTTGGTGTATTTAACAAAGATGAGGGCAAGGATGCGCACAAGGAAAAGAAGATGAGAACTCCAGTTCCGATTGATTATTCAACTGAGGAACAACAATCAGTTTCTGAGACCCCATCAACGAATATGGTTGTAGCTGCAGAATTTGCAAAGCATGTTACAACAACAAATTCGAAATAGGAGAAGCCTCTTGTGGAAAATGATGATTTGTCTTTTGTAATTGGGGATGTTGAATTACATTTTTGTGGGGTTTGGGGACTTTTAGGACGCATTAATTACGTATTAAATGATTTAATTAGTTTAAAAGGGTATTATTCAATTTAGTTAGTTTAATAGGGAATTGAGCCTAAATTACCCAAATTTCTTTTTTCAAGAAAAAAAAGGTACTTATTATTTTGAATTCATGTAAATTAATTTAGTGGTAGATGTTAAATTTAGACTATAAAAAGATGGTTTTTGCATCGAAACAAAATTCGAATTTGTGCTTGTACCCTATAACTAGATTAGAATCGTTCGATTCTAAAGTAGAATTGAATTAATTGAACCAATTAATTTTGATTCAACCCAGTTTGTGGAAAAATGACAACTCCAATTGTATTTGATGGATTCAAATGCTCAAGTAGGGTATCATAAGTTATAAATCCCATTTAAATTGTGAAATATCTAGGTAATTCATTACTTGATTGTATTTTTGTGAATCAAGTGTAAACAAGGTTGACTTTGTTTGACCTCCAATTAGAATAAACGTCCGTATGTTTGTTAAATTATAATTTTCATTCTTAGCCTTTGTTTGATGGGGATTGAAATAAAAAATTTAGTAAATTTTAATAAAAGTTGATAAAATGTATAGTTGAAAAGTTGCGGACCATGAAATATGCAGTTAGGATTAATTATTGACTTTGATTTTAATCCTAGCAAACAGGGTAGTTGGCTTCATCAAATATACAATAGACGACATAATTGGGCCAAATCTACAATTACTTGGGCCAATTTGGTCTGAATCCAGCAATTACATGGGTTTC